CAGAAGACCGACAGCTGTAATCTTGCTCAACGCGCTCCTGGAACGATTCACCAGGTTGCTCTGTTCAACAGGTCTGGTTGCAACCAACTGATAGTAATCTATACGGGTAAAGAAAAAAGGAATCCACAGAATCGGTAATCATTGATGAAACCCTCACAAACGGAACCAATCCAGCCTGCCGCAGGAACCAATCGATGGGGACGAGCTCCAGTAACCTCCCGAAAAAGACAGGGATCTCGCGTGGGGGTTACCAAAAGGCGACAAGTCCACACATATCACTTCGTAGCGGTGAACCAACGGTCTATCCTACGGTCAAAACTGACAGATCAGGAACCATTGACGGTGGAAATATCAGAGATGATTAGTGAGAGATGATTTTTAGTCTTCTCACAAACCAGTAAACACAAGAAACTAAGGCGCTACTACGAACAAAATACCTACCAAGCAAAACCCCGAAATTGCAACCAAAAAGCTGCCTAGTTGGTTTCAAGTATGTGTCACGCTACCTGACTGGGAAGGCCTGACTGGCGGGTCAATCGATCGTCGCTACAACCAGGACAGTTACTGGGTCGTCGTTCGATGAGTCGGGCACACCAATCACACCGCTCAAGTATGAACACGTTCGCCTCTTCAGACGTAGCGGTTACACGCTCGCCTCGCATGTCAGATGTCCGGGGTTCAAATCCTGACACGGCCATTGGATATGAACTGCTGATGAGCTTCAATAAGAGCGAAATTCGAGTCCAGTGCTTTCCTTTGATGTGGACTCACCGGAATAATTAGGCCAGAACAGGAGGACAGCCGTTCAGACGAGAGTGGTGCGACTACCAACAAGCGAAGGAGCATCTGAGGGCCTCCCTAAGCTAGCAATGAACACCTAATTCCCAATTCACCAATGGTAAATGAGACAAACAAACGAGAAAAGTAACGAAATTTCCGGTGAATGGCTAGGGGATATAGTAAACTTAATCCCACAGACCGTACGCATCACCGCTCCCGATGAAGACCATCTCTCACACCGGCCTAGTGAGATTTGCTTTCAAATTAATTGATTCCTTTCTTCTATTTTTTATTTTGTACAGCGCGATTCCCCCTTTTTTGTTATTTTGGTCTGTGCCTATACCACCCTTGTTGTTTTTGACCTGAACATAAACCGTTCTTTGATCTTGTCATCGGACGTGCTGTTTAAGTTCACACGTGGTTTCGCTAGCTTGTAAACACGTGGCTCTGAGTCGGCGTGGACTTTGAGACCCGTTAGGAATTAGCAGTTCCCAAACCGGTGTATAGAAGCCGGCATAGTCCCACGATTTGAGGTTTGTAAAGCTTTATCATTTTATTATTGTACTTCTAGTACCGCATTTGTAGATAAACCTCCACTTGAAAGAATTGGCTTTTGGGGTTTTGCGCGTAACTCGACGTGGTTCAACAGATTGCTGGGATCAATCTATACCAATGCCTAAGGAGAAACCGTCCCTCAGCGTCCAGTATTCTTGTTTCAACACAAGTTAGAATGAATCGCGCTTTCGTTAGACTTAGAAACACAGTTGTTCCTTCTAAGCAGGCAGTCTTAGAAAATAACTCCAGGGATGTAACTAATTGTGTTTGATGCTTGGTGCGCTTCCAAACGGCCAGACTGTCGATATAGGAGACCAATCAACGAAAAAGAGTACGCTTCAGTGAGTTCCTGAAGGACGTCCTCAGAGTGAGCACAAGCTCCCTGAAAATGACAAGGGGAGGCTATCTGTTGTAAAGAACACTCTGTTGATCGATTCAAAACCTCACATCTGCTTATTTCTTCCTTCTAAGATGGACTTTGCTAGTGAAAAACCGATCGAAATATTAGCCGAAAGTTGCATCCGTCACGAAGAAACAGGACATCAACGAAGTGTGACAGTTTTTGCACCTCAGTGACTCAGTGAGTTATACTGGGTGTGTGACGCCCAGAGAGCTTTTCACACCAGATTTGTCAATGTTTTTAGGTCTGACTAACACAGACTCTTGGACCTCCAAGATGGGAGCTGACACATCTATGAACCAATACGTTCCTCCAAACACTGTTGCGTTAGAGTAAGGCTTTCGAACCAGAAGCTTTGAGTGTACAGCCTAATTGTCGTCCTGTCTACGTCCGGCAGTATCCCATGAGTCTCACTTCATTCCAGGTAGACGCTTTGCCGGCAACCAGGTCTCCTTAGTTGCTGCATACAGCAGGTCAGATGAAAAAACAGACCATTGTTGACGCCCTCTTCTCCCTCCTTCCTATATTCGTCTTCTCCCTCACCTTACGTTGTTTTTCATTTATATCTCCAAAGACCCATTATTAAGGACTATCGGATCCCATTGCCGTTTGTTGCAACACACACGGTTAACTCGGTCACCATGACTGTAGACGTTTTGAAATCACTCTTCAAGCCCGGATACTCAGTTCATCTAACAGCTACTAGCATTCACGCCCTGAAACAAGCTGAACTATAGACTGCCCTTGTATACACGCTGGACTCGCTTACTGTTAATATGTTCTCTGTCTGTAACCAGGATTCAGGACCCACGCAAGGCTGTTGAACTGACCTCCCCACTGGTTCCCACTCATTTATGATGGCGCATCTCTGGTGACCCGGAATCCTCTGTGTTTGATTTGGGACACACGGACAACAGCGAGCGCCTACTGCAATTATGTGCCAGCCTATTAGGGGAACCAGCTTCGAAAGTGACGGGACTATATAACATCCAATGGAATAACCGTTTTCGTTGAGACCGATTTCAATGGTTGTTATTCACTCGTTCTTGACAGATGAGTTGTATTCTTAGTATCACTTTTTTTGACCCGCTTGTACGCGACAATGACCAATAGATCGGCCGGTTCGCACGTTCATTGACTTTTCTGGTTTGGTTAAGCGCACCAGGCGATCAACCGGCTATTCAGACCGGGGTTCACGGTACTAAGAAGGCATTAAGGAGATTGTGGTTCACAACACAGCCAAAGACTGTTTCCATGTAGTACCAACTTCTGAAACAAACGAAGTCGTTTGGCCACATAGTACCCACATGCAAGCCAACGTCCGACCCAGATAGACTACATCACCACTGGCTATAAGCGGATTGGGTCAATCACTGATTGACGTTCATTGTGAAACACCTAGAGAGGTTCTGACTACGCGCTGGTCTGTTGCCGCTTCCCTCTGAGCTTTTAATGGACGCGTAGGATGGGCACATTTCGCCTTAGCAAAAACAAGCTCTCAGACAAGAATCAAACCTACTAAATTGCAAACAAATACGGTTTTGCGACGGACTCACATGGAACCTAGCCAAATCTCTCGTTGGTGATGTTTCCAGGCGACTGAATGTACTGTACCAGGCCACCTCGTGTTTCAGTTGCTACGGTGTTCGAGATATCACGACACATGTAGTCAGTTGTGTTGAGTGACAATAAAACAGCTTTGGCCTCAGTGTTTCATTACGTTGTTGTCAATGCTGAGATGCGTACCTTCTTACTGCCTCTTACAATCGATAGAGTATTCCTCTCAAGAGGGATTGATTTCCCAGGTGAGACTAATAAAACCGTTTCTAGTAAGTTGGACTTTTTTTGGTCCTGCCACTCTAGTTTCATTCAAAAGTCGACTTCCGCAAAAGTACGACGTGGTCCTTTTAGTGTCAATCAGATTCAACTGTAAATAAGGTTTCGCGAGAAGTCAGCTGACGGTGGTTCATATCAGAGATGGGTTGAATTTTGCAATTCACTACTCTTAAGGTTGCTGAAAACCCCTGGACAACCGACGACTGGTTTCGTCCTTCTTAGGGTTTGGGATGGACTGACTTTGCCTTACAGAACGAAGGCAACAGAGAGGACGGAAGAGCAGGCATGAGTCGGGTGTATTAATCACGTGCTTATTCCGATAAACGATCTAATCTTGAAGGGTTTACAAACAGCAGTTCGACATCTCACACAGACTACCACGAAGCAAACGTACAGACAGTTTGATGGCTCCTGCAGGAAAAGGGGTGCTGTTCCCCTGGGAGGAATTGGAATGAGGTGAACGGTCACTTACTAGGTAACACCACATGGGTGGTAAGTTCAGGTTCTTTCCGGTTAAAAAACTATCCATTCATCAGCACATTCATGATTAATTAACGAAAAACATAATTATGAAAGTAAGATGGATTAAATAACGACAGGGTGACTGGATTGAAACTAGCCATCCTGTTCGCGAACACACAATGGGAATGTCATTGATTCTGGTGAGATCATGTGTCGCACGCATATCGATGGAAAGTTTGGCCAAAGAGAACAAGGCGAATACATGAAAATTGATCAGGCTATGATTGGTAATAATCGCGTAATTAAAGCATAAATCTTCAGAGGTATTAAAACGTGTGACATACAAACCGAGGCACCGAACGCACGCTCCTCAGAACATCGCTACACAGGGAGGCATCTTGAGACACTTTGGAGGTCCATCTTAAGAATCTTGCCTCGCTTGAAAAAGGAACGAAACGTTACCAATCTTAAAAACAATGATTTCCGACAGCAATAAAGGACAAGGATTTGACGGGAGTTCCCTCGTTCGATGAGCAAACGCGGTGATCGAAACTACGCCACCGCATTCTAAGCGGTCCGCTGGATTACCTCGTTTGAACGATGCCTCGGAAGGCGATCTAGTGGGGCTGATTTCCACAGATGGTCTGCTAACCAGAACTTCTCGGTCACGTGCTTCACGGGACGCTCAGTAGAGATATATACAGTACGGATCGCACATCACGCCTCAATGATAGGAGTTCATAGCCCAAGCACAATAGATCATAATGGCTGAGCTGCGGTACCCTTTCAACGCATTGCTACCGTTCGATAATAACCAATAAATTAAATGAAGTTAGAGTGCGACAGGGGTATGCTAAAGGTTCTTAGCAGTACGTATTTTCCTCCAAAGTGACTCGAACCATTAAAACAATCGACCAAACACGACAAACACTAAAACAGCAAAAACATGGAAAAATAGGCAACTCACATCCATATTGATCTCTAACTTGTACTTGGCCAAATCTTCCGGATTAAAGTCATCAATGTATTCGTCCGCCGAAGACGCATCCACAAATCCTAAAACGCCAACAAGATTAAAAAAAACTCGAGCAGAGCAAACGGCTAGCATACGTGGGAAGTCGCGCAACCATCTATTAGAAAGGCTTATATCGTTCGATACTGGGAACAGAATTTAGCTAGGTTAAACGTGCACATCAACACAAAAAAGTAGGTACACGCCTACATCGGTTGTTAAGCCAGGTATCAGAACAAAATCATACTTTCAACGCACTACTCATAAGGTTGCTGAAAATTCGTCGACAGCCCACGACCGGTTTCGCCCTCTTTGGGTCTCATCAGGTAGGCGCAGTCCCCGAGTTTCCGTCAACCTTATGTTCTACTTGAAACCAAATTGCACGAAATTACCGATATCTCGAATATCGCAGGGAGTGAAACATGAGGCGTCTTGATGCAGCACATTCAGTTGCCTGAAAACATCACAAACGAGAGATTCAGCTGAGCTCCAGGTGAGTTTCTCAAAAAACCAAATTAGTTTGCAAATGAGTGTATTTCGCTAAAATCATACTTGTTGATCGACGGTCAGATGCAAGGACTAGAGTCTGAATGGCTTAAAATCTCGCTTGTCCACCTTCACCATCAGTCACGCGTCGATCAATTGGAGGTAATAGTGTGTCCAGTCGTGTACTTCTGAACATCTGGAGTGATTACCGAATTTTTTACCCAACAAGGTGGATCATAACTCAGAACTTAGCCCAATGCACCCAGAGGTATGGTAGCATCGCAAAGCACTTATGGAGTCAGAAAGGTGTTAAAAGACTCATATTTTCACGCACTGACCTTTAACGTTGGGAAGTTGGGAATGACGGCCATTTGTAGTCCGGGATGGATGGTACGGTTCTCGCTCGTCGTGCTGCCAATACCGTTCCGAAGAGCGTGTGAATTGTGGCTTTGTTTTCCATTGACCACCAGTGACTTCAAATGTTCCTCGGGGGCGTCTAGACGCCTGAGTATGGCCTTGTCGATAAGAATCCCGTCGGTTGTAGCCTGAGTGGGTGAACAAGAGAGAGAAGAAACGTTAGTGAAGAGGTGTGGTTATAAGGACTTGCCGAACAGCAAAATAAGCGAGAATACATGATTCTGATTAGGAAACCTCTCCAGTGGCGTTTCATTGGCGCAGATTAAACAGCCTCAACGTCCAGGCTCGCAAGATGTATCACAACATTTTGCGGGTATTGAAGAGATTTTGAGATATGCCAACTTGAATTTTCGAAACACCACCCTTCGGTGGGCATCTAAAATGGAACGTAGAGGAATAGACCGTCGCACAAGACACCAGGTATATTTTGCGTCCCAAATGACGCAATGAAATACATTGCACTGTGCAAAACCTCGATTCTTCACGGTGGTTTCAAACTTTCCAATAACACATGGTCAAATTACGTCAAAAAATCAGGAATCAGACAAAACCCTTTCCCCCCCCCCCCGTTG